GAGAAGCAGAAGTCTGGGGAAGGGAAATCCGAAGGTGGGTATTATATTCGTTTCGCTGGATTATGAGAAGAAGCCGTATAAGGTAAATAAGAGTGCCAAGAATTGGAAGAAGCTGGAGAGGACGACGGGAAGCCGCTTCGGACGAGAATCAACTCCAAGAGATCTAGGCCATCGATTCGAAATCCGACGGAGGAAAAAAATTGGAGTGACGTGGAGGGTGGTCCTGGCGGAGGAGCTGGCCATCTTTTTGGCTTTTAAATGTCCAAGATATCCGGCTTTGGAATTTGATGCCACAATTGGAAAAAAATGGCTTCTTTCCATTTTCTTATAGAGAATTACTCAACAGCAGGCGACTGATTTCTGGTCTAATAACTTATTATCAGTTTCGGGGCAATCCAAGTTCCAAACAGCGTGCACACATTAGTTAATTCTGTACGGCATTTTTTTCAAATATAAACAGTAGTCAGTAGTCACAATAGCCTCCAACCAACAAACTAAACCATGGTACGTACATGTCAGTGCCACATCGACAACGCAGCCCGGCGATCGATCATACACCGTCCATCTTCCTCCACGCTCAGTGTATCCTGCCAGACTGGTTCTGCGGCAGCAGCCCCGGGATGAATGGCACGCCGAGCTGTGGGAGCCAGTGCTGGCCCTGGATGAAGCTCTCGACGGTGTACTTCTGCAGCGCGTGCTGGTAGGTGACGTTCTTGACACCCCTCCACTTGACGCGCTTGCTCGTGTCGGCGCCGGGCCCGTGGTTCTCCACCTCGGCGTAGTAGCAGGTGTTGAGGCCGAAGTCGCCGAGCCACGGCAGCCACCCCTTCGGGTCGATGAACCCGCCGATCTCCGACTGGATGTAGAGCGTGCGCGAGTGCTCCTTCCACGGCCGCCCCAGGAAGGTCCTGAGCTTGCCGGCGCTCTTCTCGAACTCCGGGTGCGGCGCGATGGTGCAGTTGTGGATGACGGTGCCGCCCGCCGACCGCCGCTCCTTGCGGCCCTGCGCCGTGACGATGTTCTGCTGGTTGTCCATGCACTTGCGCACCTGGATGAGGCAGTTCTGGAACACCACCTGCGCGTTGCCGAAGATGAAGTCGATGGTGCCGGTGATAACGCAGTCGCGGTAGTACTGCCGGCTCGTGTGCGTGTACAGCGTGTCCTGGTACCCGTCGAACTGGCACTGGTAGAACGCCGACATGTCGCTCTGCACCCGCAGCGCCACCGCCTGGTGGTTCTTGGCGCCCGCCGTGTTCTCCACGCCGATGCCGCGCATCAGGAAGCCGTTCCCGATCGCCTCCATCGTCGCCGTGTCCTTGGTGGTGATGTTCATCATGAAGCTCTTGTCGCCCGTGATCACCGTCTTGGTGGCGCCGTCGCCGATCATCACCAGGTTCGTCACGTTCCGGGGCACGGACACGTACTCCCTATACGTGCCGGCCTTGACGTACATGACGTACGTGGTGGCGCTCTTCACCGGCACCTTGGCCAGCGCCGCGTTGATGGTCTTGAAGTCGCCGCTGCCGTCCTTGGCCACCGTCACGTCCGGCTTGAAACCCTTCTCGCCGGGGGAGACCTTCAGCAGCCGGCGCTTGGCGTCGGGCATCCACGAGGGCACGCCGCCGGCGTGCTCCGCGAGAAGCCGGCGGTGGAAGCTCGGGATGCCCAGGTTGGCGAGCGTCTCGGAGAACTCGTCCACGAGCGCGAGGATGTTCTCCGTCAGCTCCTGCGAGCTGTTGAGCGCCTTGCGCATCTTGGCCGCCGCGGCCGTGGTCGTGTTGTCGAACCCGTCCAGGCACGTCTCCTGGTACGTGAGCGCGGAGCTGAGCCACGTCCGGAGGTCGTCCACGGCGCTCTTGAAGTTGGTCATCTCGAAGCCGCCCAGCCTGTCGAAGGTGGTCTTGAGGTCGTCGATGGCGTAGTCCAGCAGCTCCCTGCAGTTGTCGAGCGCGACCGACGTGCGCGGGTCGTTCTTGAGCTCGTTGAGCACGGCGGACTCGCGCACGGCCTTCTCGATCCGGTCGGACGTCACCTTGAAGATGGCCTTGGCCAGGTCCGTCGGGCTGGTGGCGTTCCCGGCCGCCGCCTTGAGCGCCTTCTCGCACGTCTCCCTGTAGTCCACGGGCTGACAGAAGGACTTGATGGACTTCACCGACGTGGACATCTCGCCCTCGTCCCTCTCGCCATTGCCGCTGCCTCTGAAGGACACGACGCAGATGGTGGCGACCACCGCCACCACCAGGACGGTCGACGCGCCGATGACGGCGCCTTTCATGGTCGGACACGCAGCACCTCACGGCCTATATATATCCTATCTGCGCGCGCGCGCGCGCACGCACACAAACACAGTATAATTGTAAATGTAATAATGCGTTAGGTATTTAGTGCCCCCAACCACACCAATAGAAGGGTGGACACTCTCTATGTTTTGGTGTGATTGGAGTACCTAGCAAGAGCGTCGAAACGAATTTTTATACTACTACAATAGGCAGCGTCAAATTTGGGACAGGGCGACGAAGAGTACGGTTGTGCATTGGCGTTGGAGCCGAGGTGAAGGGAGAGCCTCACAACGACGACGGACGGTTGTTATTGGTGTTGCGTTTGTTCAATCTTTTTTGTTTGGGATTTTTTTTGCAGAGAAGACGATTCGGCCTTTTAGCGGAGCTGATCTAAGAGAAGGCCTCGCGTAGCCTGGCCCACGCAGCAGGAAGCAAGCGTCGCTGGGCTTGAAGACTGGGAAGGATGAGGCCCATAAACAAATTGGTGAAGGTATTATTCTTCCGTACTAGTATAATTTTGCTTATTTTCATACATATATATTCTTCCCAATCGGCAAGGCGATGGCCGCATTGGTACCAAGCGAACATGTCCTGACTCCTGAGCGGCTGGGCCCACTGTGTGTACCACAACTTGCAAAGTAGTCATATTTTGATGATACAAAATCTGAAACAGAATATATGGTCCATAGGAGATGTACACCAACTATATATCATTAAAAAAAATCAACGTGATACAAAATGTCACGCGTAATGAAACAAAGAAAATATAGATGGACAGTAGCATTTTATCCGTCCGTTCTAACTTTAACTTTCTTTTTTTTTTTCCTCTGTACATCCAGCTTAGATTTTTTTTTTTCAAACGAGATAATGGATCGCAAACTGATCGCATTCACATGGACGGTAACGTCAGGCGGCCTCGGCTGCAAATTCGAACGCGTCAGTTTCAACAAAAAGTTGATGATATTTGGCAAATTGAATGGATATAGGGGAGGTATGACGCCCAAACGCTGTGCGGCAGGCATCGCGACAGCTGCTACAGAACAAAGGGCGATCGATCTCAAGACAAGCCAGCCCTGCTGATTCGAGAACCAGCAGACGGCGGGCATCGGCCATCAGCGTCAGACGGCGGAACTTGCGGCAGGCGCCGCGCGGACAAAGCAAATGGTCGGCCCGAATTTACCAAATCCGGCACGGTCAGTGGCGGAAGCCCGGACTGTTCCAGCCGAGCAGATATTTTTCTCTCACGTATGGATATGGATACTTCAGGAAGGAGGCATTGGCGTACTACGCTACGCCTCAACCTCAATTAAATTAAAAGAAGAAGACCATTGGCGTTCTCGTCATCGGTGACCATGTTGCAGCACTGATAGTAGGAGATCAGTAATAAGCAAAATGAGCTAGCTGGTCCAAGAATGACCAATCGGACGAGTGCCGGAACCATCTCGAGTCGAGTCTGGTGGCCCTGGTCCTGCCTGTTTCTTCGCTTTCAGAAGCGAGCGAGCAGGGACCAAGAACGCATTCCACTGGGGACCACGGAGTCCCAGGCCCAAAATGGCCCTCCCGGCTTCGCCACACAATTAGAGAGCTACTCGACCGGCGACGACGCATACATTCGCCGGACCTGACGATAGATTTTTACACCCCGAACACTCCGGGTTGGAGTCCTCCGCGGCCAACCATGGAGAAAAAAATCCTCAGGCCCAGAGTCCCGACGGCGACCCTGGCCTGGCCCCAGCAACTTGGAGCGGGAAAAGGCACCGGGCTCAAGTGGTCGTGGTCGGCTGATGGTTGGCGCCTCGCAGCCAGGCGATTTTGGCAGCACCGAACCCCCGCAGGCACCACAGCGCTGTTTTCGCTTTCGTTCGTACGCGATGCGGATCCAGGAGGAGGGCAGGTTCGATGTTAGGCTCCTGTTAAAACCGAACCGAAGCTGTTTTGTTGTGAGAAAAAATACTGTATATTCTAACTCATAAGTCAACTAATAAGTTCAAACGAACAGACCTAATAAGTATAATAAATAAGCGTTTGGACTTCACGGGTCCTGTTTGTTTGAACTTAACCGTCTGATTTATCAGCCATATTATAGTATTTTTTTATAATAAATTAGTAATTTTTATGGCTTTTTAGCGAACGGATAGTCGTACCTGCTGCAACTAGAACCATCATCGGCCCAGCGGCACCATGCTGCTGAACAAGGCCACGTCCGGCTGCTTTCTAGTTACCGGAAGACGCCAACGTTGCCAGGCCCGGTCGGCGCCGGGGACGGGCGATTAACAAAGCTTGAAAATCCCGATAAAAAAAAACAAAGCTTGAAATCGACGACAGAGACTGCAACACACGACACGCAGCAGTGAGCGACAATTTGGGCACGAAATCGAAATGTCGACGAGACAACAAATCAGAGTCCCTGGCCACGCGTCCAACAAATCAGAGTCCCCGGCCACGCGTCCGCCAGTTGTTGCGCCGGCGCGGCCGGTATCCAACACCACCCGACCCAACCCCACAGCTTGCACAATCGACCACCGCTACAGAAAGGAGGCGTAAATTACTCCTATATCAGATCATCAGATGGCCTAAAAAGGGTGAAATTTTTATTCTTCTTTTCCAGAGCCTCCTCCCGTTGCTTTTGCTCCTCATCTTTCTCCGGTCCCTTTCACCGAAAGCGTACAGTGCTCCGCAGCTACAGCGGGCGCGTGTACATCTCGTACACCGGCGCGCCGGTCACCTGCGCGCCTGCTGCGGCTGCGGGTAGGGCGCGACGCGCGTTCGACGGGCACCGTCCGGCGGCGGCGGCATCCGCCCGCCTACACCGCCACCGCCGTCGCCGTTCACGATGTCCTCCAGCATCTTCTGCAGGTCCTCCAGCGTGTCCGGCTTCTGCACGGAAGCTAAGGTTAATTGCAATTTACAATAAACAAATAATAAATCCGCGTGGTGGTGGGTGGTTGCGTTGCGTTGCGCCTACCTCGTTTGTCACGTTATCCATCATCACCAGCATCTCCTGCATGAAGTCGGAGAAATCCTGGCCGTCCGAGAGCACAGCAGCGAAATTAATTTCTTTTCTTTTCTTTTCATCAGGCTACATGATACACATATAGATATTCGCGCACAAAATGGCACAAAATGGCAAAAGGATTTGATTGATTTCGACGAGACAATAAGCAGCAGGAACCAGGGAAAAAAAAGAGGACAGGAAACGAAACCGAGTGCAGATTCACCTGGTCGTCGTCGTCGAGGGGATCGAAGAGCCCGGCGTCGTACATGGCCTTCTTCCCCTTGTCCGACAGAACTGCGCCAACCAAACAAGCAATTCGATCAAATATCGTGAAAGCCAAGTATAACCAAACAGGTAGTAGGCCTAACCGGAGTATGCCTCCTGGATCCGCTGGAACCGCCGCTTGGCCTCGCCGGCCGCGCCGGGGTCGCTGGCCCACCGGTCCGGGTGCCACTTCTGCGCGCCCACGGCAAGAGATCGGAACATGTGAGTAGGTCTGTTCGGGAGGAGAGGGGGAAACACACAGACAGAACCCAATCAATCAAACACCGGCGCGAGGCCGCCGCGCGCGCATGCACAGCAAGCGAACTCACCATCGCGAGCCTCCGGTACGCAGTGCGTATGTCGGTGGCGGAGGCGTTCTTGCGGATGCCGAGGAGCGCGTAGTAGCAGCACGTCGATGCGCCGTCGCCGGAGGCATTGCCGGATCCCCCGTCCATGATGTTGTTGGAAGCGCAGCGAGCAGCAAGCGAAACCGGGGACCCCCGCGACGACGACGCAGGGCGAGGCAGCAGCGCTACAAAGGCATCGAATTTGGAAGGGAGGCGAGAGATGGATGGATGGATTCAAGGAAAGGAAGCGAGAGAAAAAGGTTTTATTCCGCGGGGAGGGCGTGAGCAAAATATCTCCTCTCTTCTTTCTCTGAAATAGGAGGGGTGTGTGCTTTGGTCGTCGGGGGTTGGGGCCAGTGAAGGTTCCAGAGCTCGTGCCGCGGCGAGATATTTTCGGGCGCCAGCTCCGGGCTTCGCCACCGGGGTTCGCGGCTATTTACGAGATTGGGATCCCTTCCGGTTGTGGAGTCTCGTCGGAGCCTCTGTTCGGTCGGCTGGTTGTTTCGTCGGCGAAGAGAGACCGTTGGCGGGTTTGTGTGAAAAAAAATTATTATTTTAGTTAAAAATTTACTATTATTTATAATAAGTCATAGCGAAACGAATAGGCTAGACACGTGCATGGGCCACGATGACTTATGGCTCTGTCTATTTGTTAGTGCACACTGGGCCACGAAGGCTGGTATTGACGAGCCGTGCAACTTCTTGAAAGATTAATTAATGGAAAACACAGTTCAGTTCATTTCTTCTTTTGTTCTTGTTGTCTTTACATTCAAACGGATGAAAGCAGCACTGCGCTCCAGTGAGTGTACGATGAAGTAGCCCATGCCTAAGAATTGTCTGGGTGGGGAAAATCTTCGGTGAAGGAAACCGTGAAGGCTTCTGTTAACTCCACAAAGGCAAAAACTTGGTACACCGTTTGTCCATTCCAGCCATACAGACCGACCAGCGTGCTGCGGCTGAGGGCCAGATAGGCACATTACCTAGCAGCAGCAAAATTTTTAAGTCCCAAATAAATTAAGGTAGACTAAAGTTAAAACCCAACAGAAGCAATCAAGATTTAGACACGTAAATAGCTATCTTCCCAACACTTCTATCTAAGACTAAATCTTTGGGTATATTTCATCCTTTCGAGTCTCCTTTTATTGTCTCTACCCACGTCAACTTCGGTCTTCTTCTGTCTCTCTTCACGTTACTATCCTGGCTTAGAATTCCACTACGCACCGGTGCCTCTGAAGGTCTCCGTTGGACATGTCCAAACCATTTCAACCGGTGTTGGACAAGCTTTTCTTCAATTAGTACTACCCCTAATCTATCACGTATATTATCCTTCCGAACTCGATCATTTCTTGTATGACCGCAAATCCAACGCAACATACGCATTTCTGCAACACTTATCTGTTGAACATGTCGTCTTTTCGTAGGCCAATATTCTGCACCATACAACATAGCAGGTCTAATCGCCGTCTTATAGAACTTGCCTTTTAGCTTCTGTGATACCCTTTTGTCACATAGGACACCAGATCCTTGCCGCCACTTCATCCACCCTACTTTGATTCTATGGCTAACATCTTCATCAATATCTCCGTCTCTCTCTATAACATTGATCCTAAATATCAAAAGATATCCTTCATAGACACTACTTGATCTTCCAAACTAATATCTTCCTCCTCCCGAACAGTAGTGCCGAAGTCAGATCCCATATTCTCAGTTATAGTTCTACTGAGTTTAAAACCTCTGGACTCAAAAGTGTTCCGCGATAACTCCACGATGGAAAAAAAAAATCGCACTGAAAAATGCAGTCTGAATTCTGAAACATTGCAGATGCGTGCATAATATATAGACAATAGACATCAGTTACAAGAACATATAGACCAATAAAGCGCCTTGCATAATCTGGAACGGAATGAAGAAATTCGATGCTTCTGCATGTACCTCAAATCCTCAATGCAGTTTAACAAACAAGAGCAGTAAAATATTGTACCAGAAACATCGAATTCAACCTAGACTCCTAGAGAAGACTCGGTTCCTCAGTCGCACCTAAAAGGTAAGACAAAACCAACCAAAGGATTCAGTCGATTTATACGTCAAATGCATACATACAAAAAAACAAATCCAGATTCTGAAAGTGCAGACACTGTAGGGTATTCTTTGACCCTTGTGATCAGTATATCACACCCTATCTATCATAGCCTCTATCCTGTGCTCCAACTCCAAGTAACATATCAAGTACCTAGACCTCAAGAGTTCATCACAAATGCCACAGTTTTCACATGCAGTGGATAATGCAAGTGAGAGCTCGTGCCAAAGTAGACTTCATCTTCTGTTTTGGTGGATGGCAGCTTTCCAGCTATCACTTAACTGGGCATCAATGCTGCTCTATGAAGCACTAGAATAACTTCCAGGATAAACAGCACATCTTTTGTTCAAGGAAAAGAATTGTGAAGAGGAAAAACAATTTGAACAGTCCTGCAGTGTTCAGCTGTTTTGTTTCAGAACCATAAAATCACTTCAAAACCATAAAAGACAAGCGGCCATCAGGATGTTCATGGCCAGAAATGTCACCTAATGAAGAACCTTATCTGAGATAAACATCCGTAACGAGAAATGGACACTTGGACAGTGACCTTTCACTATCAGTGTTATATAAATGGTAAAATAAAGTGCATGATCCCAGACATTTTTCAGTTCAGGAGATGAACTCATGGGCGTACTAAAAATTAAAATCTTGATCAACATGAATGTTTCCCCATTCATGTTTTAAGAGCAGCAAGATCCCATATTCATTAGACAAAATCACTGAGGCATTACCCTTTGCAGTACCTGAATGTTTCCCCATTCAGGTTGTAAGAGCAGCAAAATCCCATATTCACTGGACCAGATCACTGAGGCATTAAAACAGAACTAATTGTACCCAACTAAAGAGCACATCAAACATCTTACATTCATACAGACCAGTTGGTTACTACCACTACCACAACACATAAACTAGAAACAGATAGCAAAGAAGCTAGTTAGTTTAAGCTCCATCTACTAACAGTAAAGCCTCTTGCATAGATAATTAGATGCTCAAAAGTGTAAATTAGTAGGTGGAATGATGGAAAACCATATTACACTCTACAGCCCCCTGAAGAAAGGTGGATCACGTGCAGCTCTATTCTCTTGTTCTCGGAAGAGTGCATGTGGAACAAGGCTCTCTGAAAACATTTGCAGTGAAGTTTAGCAAGCGGCCATTGCATTGAAATTTTTCCAGTAAATTGCCATTTCTGTCAAAGTGCAGCTGCCAATGATAACCATCAACCAGCACATCTCCCTCCCGGGATAGAATATGCGAGCACCAACCTTCATGTTCTTCAAAGCGGCTTATCTCGACGACTGGCAATTTAATGCGATGCTTGTGGACCCATACCACACCTTTGTAGTCCTGCAGAAGCCAAAGATTCACCTTTGATCCACCGACATTACTGTTCGATATTGCAAGCATGCCATCAATCTCAAGCAAGGATGACACCAAAGCTAAATTCTTAACAGGTGCATCCAACAACCAGAACACTTCAGCTATGGTGTCGAACACCAGTATGTAACTGCAATTGGGCAAGGAAATCGCCCAGTGCATGTTGCCATGGAATAGGAAAGGCTCATCAAAGTCTATAGCATCAGATCTTGTTGCCATCAATTTTCTCACAAATGCCAACGACGAATGGGGTCTAATGCACCTCTCACTCCCTGATCCCACCGAGCTGATGTAGAATGTACTTTCCAAACCAATTTCTCGGTAGTACAATACTCGGTACTCGGAGTCATGAACATAAAGCCCGGCAGCCTTGACATGTTTAAGCGCGGGTGGGAAGACGGAAACCCACTGACGTGTGGTCGGACTGCAGAGATAGAAACGATTTCTGAAGGACATGAGCAGGAGACCACCGCAGGCAGCGTGGACGGCGAACGGGGCGTCACTCGCTAAGCAGTCGTAGTCGTCGAAGGTGAAGCGAACGACGGACCGGAACTCGCGCTTGCGGAAGTCAAGAGCTTCGACGCAGTAGTCAACGAGTCCCAGGTTGTCATGGCGAGTTCCCACGTCGCGGACGAAGGTGAGGAGGCGCCGCTGAGGTTGGCGGCGGTGGTGGGAGAGGAGGAAGGCGCGGTCGGAAGTGATTTGGCGCCATGCCTTGCAGACGGCGCGGGACAGGAGGACGGATTTCGGCGGCAGCAAGAGGAAAATCTCCGAGATGATCTCTTCAGGGAGGTTGGCGATGTTGAGGGTACTCCGCCGCAACTCTGGCGGCTTCGTGGTCTCCGCCATTGCCACCGAGCGCGAGACGGGTGCACCAAGTAACCAAGGATGATTCGGGTTACGATCCTAAAGCTGCTCCCTCGCCCTGAGATGCATCAAAATCTCCATGTGAACGGGAGGAAAAATATAAAATAGGGTTCCAAACCAAGATGAGATTCAACGAAAATCCATCTGAAGAATGTACTGGGATCGAAGCTCACCTCACTCTGGAAGTCACCATTCATCTTCCTCTAACACGATCTGCTCAACTTCCTCAAGTAGCGGCGGTGGCGGCAGGCGGGCAATGAGAAACGCGAGCTTCAACCTTTTCCCCGTCTGGGTGAACAGACAGCTAGCGTGCGCACCGCATGTGTCAGCGAGGCCTTCGTCGAGCAAAGTAAAGCCCAAAAAGTTAGGGTACTCTTGTTGGGCCTTATCCACAGTTCCACATATCAAAGCAAACCATGATAAGCGCTGACGATTTCATGGACCAATTCCTATATATATATATATATACATGATTTACCACGAAAGAAATTCGCTCGCAGTAACGTTCATCAGTCTTCCAGTTCAAAGAAGGCGTTCATCAGGATTCTGCACCTTTGGTTCCACAAAGCAAGGATCCAAGTGAAATAATTACTAAGCAAAATTTGCAGCAAAACATGTGTCAATACAAAACTGCCGTAGTCTTCATTCCTGAATCTGCAATACCTAAAACCTTCTCGCCATCAAAGCCATGTAACAGAAGACTCATATTCCATATCTAATTTACATGACTGTCATGCGGCCTAGTATCGACTTATTGACTGTCTCACATGCGATGAAATAACAGAATTGCTATGTGACAATCGGTTGATTTGTTTTACTCTAAGGCCTTGTTTAAATTGCAAGTTTTTTCACCCTCTTTCCATCACATCAAATCTTTGAACACATGCATGGAGTATTAAATATAGATAAAAAAATAACTAATTACACAGTTTGATTATAAATTACGAGACGAATCTTTTGATCCTAGTTAGGTCATGATTGGATAATAATTATCAAATACAAACGAAAGTGCTACAGTACCTAATACTGATTCCTAACCCCCCGATCTAAATAAGGCCTTCTTTAGATTAGATTTAGAAATCAGTATTTAATACTGTAGCACTTCCATTTGTATTTGACACTTATTGTCTAATCATGGCTTAACTATGCTCAAAAGATTCATCTCGTAATTTACAATCAAACTATGTAATTAGTTTTTTTTTTTATCTATATTTAATACTCCATTCATATGTCCAAAAATTTAATGTGATAAAGAAAAAGTAAAAAAACTTACAATCTAAACCAGCCCTAAATCATATCAACCGAATTTTTAGCCACTCGATCTGACACGCAGCTGTCTCTCGCTGTCCGATATCTCTGCTCTCTCTCTCCTTTTTCTGGGCAAGGCTGTGTCTCTACGACAAGCTGCTGCCGCATGAGACCAGAGAGAGAGTTGGGATGCTGCTGGCTACCTGCTGCCTGCTGCTGTATGTGACCGTGTCGTGCGAGTCACAGACATGCTGTGCTGTGGATATTGATGTGGCTCCTCGCATCGATTGGAGTGTGATGTCAGTGAGCTGAAATGAGGGCAGGCCCTCAGTAGACGTACCCTTCGTCCCTTAAATTGCTTAGATTGAAAAAAATTTCAAATTGAGAAATAGTAGCAGTTTCATCTTATTTGGTAAATATTATCTAATCATGGACCAACTAAGCTTAAAAGATTCATCTCGTGATTTCCAACTAAACTGTGCAATTAGTTTTTTTTACCTACATTTAATACTCCATGTAAACGGCTAAAAATTGTTGTGATGAAGAGAGAGTAAAAAAACTTAGAGTTTTAAAGGTATCTAAACAAGGCCCTAGTGACGCGAGTTCCACGCACATAGGTGCAGACTCCCACCACGTGAAGCCTCGTCGCCCGCAGCAGCCTTATACCTTCACCGCTTCCCCCTCGAACCACGTCAACCACCGCACAGGCCAGCTACTTCGTAAAAAAAAATGGGAAAATTTCTCATATGTTATTAAAAAAATATCGTAATGCCCTTCGTGTTTTTAAAAAAGTTCAGCGATATTTAACATCACTGCTCCAACTTTTTGTGTCTTTCATTCCACTGCTGTCAGTTTACGCTCTAACACCGTCAAACTACAGATATGACAAGTCGAAAATACCCTTAAGTCTAAATATGTCATTAATTTTTTTGAGCATCTTAACGACTTCAAATAAAAAAACTCAAAACTAGAAAGTTGTAGATCTCGTCGAGATCTATAATTTTCATTTAAAAATTATTTTTATTTAATTTCACAAAAAAATAATTTAATATGATTAATATATCTTAGAAAAATCATATTTTTTGCAGAATTAAATAAAGATAATTTTTATATGAAAATATAACTTTCTAGTTTTGAGTTTTTTCATTTGAAGTTGTTAAGATGCTCAAAAAAATTAATGACATATTTATAGTTAAGGGTATTTTTGACTTTTCACACCTATAGTTTAACGGCGTTATAGCCCAAACTGACGGCAGTGGTATGGAGGGCACAAAAAAGTTGGAGCTGTGGCGCTGAAGACCGCCGAACTTTTTCAAAGGCACACATGACATTGTGATCTTTTTTTTAATGGCACACAGGTAATTCCAAAAAAAACCACTGATCCCCAATCTCGCTCTCTTCGATCGCATCCTCGTCGGTCTTCTGTCGCCCCATCCGCATCCGCATCGTCTCCGGTCGCTGCATCCTCGTCGCCGGTTGCCCTATCCGCATCGTCGCCGATCGCTGGGCCACGGGAGGCGGGAGCGCAGGCTCACTCGTGCGGCGGCGCACGGCGTCCACCTCCTCCTCTGGCCTGGCCCCTCGCTTGCATCCTGCGCCGGGCCAGGGGAGCCAGGAACGCAGGCCCTTCCTCCACGTGACGTCGCCAAGACTCATCCGACAGCGTAAGGGTGGAGCACGGCTTCCGCGCCGACCTGCAGAGGCTCGTTGCTCCTCGTCGACGCTGCCCTCTGCTGTCATCGCGCCGCCTCCCACAACCTTGCCTCCTACCAGGTGAAGGCGGAGCGGGCTGGATCTGACGGCCTGTGCTGAGGACCCTCAAGTTCCGTCAAGGTATTCCTACTCCAAAAATCATAACATCTCTATTCTGAAAAAACTTCAATCTTTCCATGAGCACTGTAAGCAAATAAAAAAAGAGGTTAACTACATCATGCACCAATGTGTGAAGAGCATGCTGAGCCTTTGGACTGGGTTGTACAGGAATAATCCGTTATAGTGTTTAGAAAATTAAGTTAGGCACATCTGATCCACTCTGTTGATGGCCTAGACATTTACGAAAAATATGGCTCAGCTACTATTATGCTCAGAAATCCTGTTGCTGTGCTAGTGCTTTTTTCATTAAGAAGAATGGCTTTTGTTTCTCAAATTTTATAGTCCCTTCTTTTTTCTGTCATATCAGTTCATCATTTGCATGAGAATCAAGTGGTTTACTCTTATTGCAGTGTTCTTTTGTCAGGCAATCCTTGGATGGCAGGCGGCAACGGGGCACATGGGCCTAGCCGGTTCATTCGCCACTTGCAAATGAAGCGTGCCTTGGGAATCCCTTCAAGCCATAGGATGTGGCCTGCAAAGCAAATGCGCGGTCGGGATCATCGTCGTGGAACTTGGTGGGACCGTAAGCTTAACTGCGTCGCCTTCGAAGGATAGGATTTTGCTCAAGATACACAGGAAGGGGGTGCGGATCGATTCGAGTTAATACCTGATTCGGATGAAGAAGAAGGTGTTAAGGGTTCATCTTTGCTTGGCGATGAGGATGAGTACATGCCTGAGACGTAGCCATAGGACATTGTTACAGTGAGCAGAATTACTGGGCCGTGTGGCAACCAAGGTCGTGGGCGTTTTGGGTAAGCCATCTTAACGTTGCTGATTGAAAGGTCCTAATGGCTAGAGGGGGGTGAATAGCCTAATAAAATTCTACAACAACACTTAACAAAATGTGTTAGACAATTTTGCGGTGAAGCGAGTGTTGCGCTAGCCTACTAAAATGCAAGCCACCTACCACAATTCTATTTCGAATGGTGTATGTCCACACAATAGCTATGACACTTAGCTAAATTAGTGTGCTCTCAAAGACTAACTAAAGAGCAACACTAATCAAACAAACAAGCTCTCACAACTAGCTACACTAAAGAGCTTGATAACTAGTTTGCGGTAATGTAAGAGTGAGCAAGAGAGTTATACCGCCGTGTAGTGGTAGGAACCAATCAATCACAATAATGAATACCAATATAGACTAATCACCTCGGAATCAAATGATGAACACAATGATTTTTACCGAGGTTCACTTGCTTGCCGGCAAGCTAGTCCTCGTTGTGGCGATTCACTCACTTGGAGGTTCACGCGCTGATTGGCATCACTCGCCAAACCCTCAATAGGGTGCCGCACAACCAACATAAGATGAGGATCACACAAGCCACAAGCAATTTACTAGAGTACCTTTTGGTGCTCCGCCAGGGAAAGGCCAAGAACCCCTCACAATCACCACGATCGGAGTCGGAGACAATCACCTCCTCCACTCAACGATCCTTGCTGCTCCAAGCCGTCTAGGTGGCGGCAACCACCAAGAGTAACAAGTGAAATTCGCAGCGAAACACAATCACCAAGTGCCTCTAGATACAATCACTCAAGCAATGCACTTGGATTCACTCCCAATCTCACAAAGATTTTTAATCTATGATGGAAATGAGTGGGAGAACTTTGGCTAGGATCACAAGGTTGCTATGTCAATGAAAATGGCCAAAGATGTGAGCCACAGCCGGCCATGGGGCTTAAATAGAAGCCTCCACGAAATAGAGCCGTTATACCCCTTCACTGGGCAAAACACGCTCTGACCGGACGCGCTCCGGTCATACTGACCGGACGCTGGCCCTCAGCGTCCGGTCGCCCGATGGACGCCACGCGTCACCAGCTTCAAACGCTGTTCGTCAGATTTCAACGGCTGCGAAGCTAACCGG